TCATACAATATATATATTGAGTATCATAATATGCCCTGAGGGCATCTTAATTTTACCTTCTTGACTCCACAACCTAGTGTGAACCTAAGTGAAAGAGGTCGGTTATGCCAAGCACTTGTCAAACATCTCACTTACCGACTATACCAAGTGCTTTTCGGATCTTCTTAGCTACACCTAGTGCTTGCTAAACTCTCGGTTGGAGCCTTCTTGGTAAAATTGGACCCATTGATATTCTACACTTGCTCTTGGCTTAGACTTTAATTAAGTACTACAGAATCATACTTCAAAGAATTAGCCACATTCTTAACATTGGTGGACACATTGTCTTTACCTTGTAGAAGGAATTCATTGTATTGCTCTTCTAACCCCTTCCAACAACCTATCACTCATCCTTCTCCTGGCAGATCATTGCCTGAATGGCTGACAATACTTCACTCCTCGACTCTAGAGCATCCTCACCAATCCATGCCTCATGAGATGAAGATTTCACCTTTCCAGAAAATCTTGTCCCTCTAATAGTGCCTACAGATGCTGAGGATATAGATGACAAAAGCATACAGGAAGTCATTCGTCCTTGGCCGACTTGTATTCCATTGTCCACCTTCGCAAGGCATTCAAACCTCAAGGAGCACAAAGATTGTGCCCTTCATATTCTCAAGATTAGCACAAACATAGGAAATGGCTTATGCACAGCTCATGTGCTAACACATAACCAGTAGATGAAGACCTTCCATGAAGAAACAGTGATGATGTATACACTTCTCACACATGTTTTGATGTGTACCACCATGCAGGGGGAGATCAACTATAAGCTGAGGAATAATCTGTATTGGGACCTATGTACCAGACTCGCAACTCATCATGGGATGGCCTCTAAGTCCCTTGCCTCATTTTGATATTCTGACTTAAAGATCCCAACCTGGGGAGTGGACATTACAAAGGGTTTAACCATCAACAATTTCGAAATTTACACATTACACCTCTGTATTCATATCGAGAACTTCCTCTGCATGCTGGATAAGTGCCATGACTGGGTCAATCTAGGGGTACACCAGATCCTGCATGAAGATTTTATGGTGGCACAGTGTGATGCAGATCAGGCTCGTATTAAATTAGAAGAGGAAGAGATGACTGCGAACCTCACCTCATCTAAACATCATAAATCTGCAATCAAAATTTCACCCACAACTTGGGAATGGGAATCAGTATGATGTGCCACTGTGGGGGAGGAAGAACCATGACATGGTACCTGACATGCATCCCAACTCTCCACCAGAGCCACTGAAATTCTGGGCCATTCATCACTTTGCACTAATTCCAAGATCAATAAGTCGCATGGTTTCAGTTCTCAAGCCCATAAGAGCATGTGTGCTTCATCATACCAACCCCAATCCGATACAGAAAGCAATAAAGAAACATCAGAAGAGGAGACTCAGAATCTGAACAACATGGATCCTGACCCAGATCTGAGTGATGGTGGCAGCAGTCATCATAGCTGCTGCAGTCATCACAGTCACCCTCATTGATCGTCGCATCATCTGCAGACCACTCCTCAATCAACATGCTCCGAAAATTCTGGGATTCATTTCGACACCAAGCTCAAGATGGGAGACATCCCTACCTGGGATGGAAACCCCAACACCATTGTAGCCTGGATACTGAAGATCAATGACCTTGCCTCTCTGAGTGATTCAGTTTTCAAAGACCTCGGCCGTATTGCACCAAAGAGACTTCAAGGAGATGCTGACCGATGATATTATTCATTGCCTCTTCATTATTGTTTAGACCTTGAAATGAATTGGGCCATGCTGCGTGAAGGAATAACTGACTACTACATGAATTGGCATTGGTGGGAACAACAGAAAGACTGAGCCAGACAGACAACATATCAACAACCAGGACATACACATGAGTCACCAAGTGAATACTACATCTGGAAATCTGAGTTGCTGAACATGGCATCTACTCTTACTGACTCTGAGTTAATCAGTCAAGTAATGGATGCAGCACCATTGAACTAGAACACAGTACTGACAGTCCAATTGTACGAAACAGCAGTGGAATTTCAGGCAAGCATACGTTTCCACAAGGATCAACTCCTATGACTTGATCCCAACTACTGGGCATGTACTCTGAACATGTATGAGCTTCATCAGAGTCAAGACAAGTATAACTCACCTTACCGTACTTCTCATGCTCACCTAATCGGTGCTACCAACACTCCCTTCAATCCTCCATTCCCTAAAGACGATGCTACCAAGACAAAACATAAGAAAGCTCCTAAAGACATCAGAGCCTGGCCATGTAGGAACTGTGGAAGTGGGGAGCACTGGGATGCAGAGTGCAAGTACTGTTATGAAGGAATGTGCACCATGAGAACCAGGCTAGCTGAGACAGATATCATGGATCTCCAAGCCCAGGATGAATATGAGGATCTGTACTATGAGCTCAGTGATGAGCAGGATTTTGACTCATCCCTCCAGACTACTGACAGCTCATGCAGATGCGTTACTCCATGCAAAAATGATACCAATGACCTTTCAGCTCTGGGGAGAGTACAACCCAACGTTGGCAGCATAGAGGTGGACTCCCCATCTACTGCAACTCCACCATGCATCACCACTCTCAATGTGAAGACTGAAACAGCCTGTACAGCCTATGAGGATTGCCCTAGATTTTCTCCTTTCACTAGGAAGGAATGGCAACATCTAGAGAGGTTGCAGAGAAGATTTAAATGCACCTTCCATATTTCTCACCATTCCTCCGAATCCTCAGGTAAACCAAGCCTAGTTGAGCTAAAGAAGTGCATGGAAAGACCATCAGGTTGCACTTTGCTTGGAAGTAAAGCAATGGCAACTTATGCAGGAATTAATGGTGAGAAACTAGATGTCTTGAAGGTCATTATCGACTCTGGATCGGACATCACACTGAGTTCGAGAGAAGCCTTGCAAACCCTATCATTGAAACCTAAGATCCATGTTGGTCAGAAAATAAATCTTGTACAAGTAACAGGGAACTCAACAATATCTGGTTATGTCAACATCAATCTTTTCTTTGAAACTCAGGAAGGGCCTGTCAAAATCAATGTTGATGCATATGTAGTGAATGGGATGACAACTCCCTTCATACTAGGAAATGACTTTGTGGATCAATATTCAATCTGAATTCTATGAAGGGATGGCTCGAGTTACCTTGTCTTTGGAGACACTGGAAGAGAATTAGAAGTTGAAAGTTCAACAGCCCCATCTATTGTAGATTTTCAAGGCAGAACTTTCCAGGTACAAGTACTTCCAGAAGTGACATCCCATCTTGCAAAGCAAAGAATGCACTGCTGGTCCCAGAAAATCTGACAAAGAAGGAAACAGGCCATCACTCAGGGAGAGGTACATTGTTGTGACTGCAGCCTATTGACGCATGTAATTTTGCAATCTAAAGTGTTTTACATGCATACTGAGATATAGTGAGCAAGCAGACTAAAACTACATGTCAACACTAATGCTACGTGGTGCAATGATATAGAATATAACTTATGGCATAAGAAGCAATGGGATTCTAAACAGGACTTAGTCACAGCACTGTACCTGACAGGCATGCGTGATGAGAAGGCCAAACCCTATACCCAATGCCTTAGGCTCTAACTTACAAGCACACCCACGGGAGCTAGATAAAACCTTGAAGATTGCACTGACACTGAGAACACTTAGCGCGCTTGCTAACTGTGACGCGCCATACCTGAAAATCCGGGGAAATCCTTAAGCGAGCTGACAGATATCACCGGCACGAGCTTGGGCAATGGGCTTCGGCCGAAGTCCGCGAGCCCGCGTTCCATTGTTCTGAGTCCCATTGTTTGAAGACTCACTTGTTGCCGTGTCTATGAGAAGCCTCTGTGAATCCAAGAAAGAAGTCTTGAATGACATATGCCAGGACTGATAGTTCCATGCACCTAGACCTCTCAGTCACTAGAGAACAAGCCCGCAGGTGTTGGGAGAGCACCTCTTGGCATGCATTTAGCGAAGCTCACTATAGAAATGAGACTAAAACTGGGAAGTCCAACTCGGATGCTCAGTAAGGCGGCAGTGGCAACATGCTACGCATGTAGGAGTCTGGGTACTGCGTGACATTTGTAATTCTAATTCCCCTGTAGTATAAGTAGGCTGTTTACAGTAGGTAGAAGCCAAGTTTCGAGCCCCTGAGTTCCTGTGCATGCATTGAAGGCGGTACTGTAACAAAGGATCAGTTTGTGACTTTGAGCTTTGTGTAGAATTAGTGAGCTCACTCAGAGAAATACGAGATACCCTTGAGAAAAGACTTTTTGTGCACTTAGTTCTGAGAGAATAAGAATCAGTGAAGCTGTTCTGTTCCATTGAGTGTTGATAAGTCCGTTCGGAGTATGTTCTGAAGAGGAAAAGCAAGATCTGTTCTGTTCTGTTTCTGTTCAGTCTGTTCTGCATCAGTCCTGTTTCGAGTTTTCATTTTCTCAATCTGTTTCCGAGCACTTCTGAAGTGTTCTTGAGTCGAGATCATCTGTTGAAGTTAGTTGGAGAACCCCTACATACAGTTGTGTAGTGAGCAGGCTAAGTCAGTGCTTGCCTGTGGTGTTCTTTTAGCAAGCTCACTAAAGTTTCAGCATGTATTGCCTCTGTTTCTGTCAGGATCAGTGTCCCTTGTGTATTTTAACTCAAATCTGCCTTGAAGGTTGCGTCACACCAGTGAACGACCTTCCTGTAAAAGTTCCTAGACTTAGGGATTCATTAGAGAAAGCTTAGCTTCACTAAGAGTGCTGAGGAAAAGAGAAACTCTTCGAGATATAGAAGTATAGTTGGATCGCATTAGGAATAATTGCTCCCCCTAGAACTTATGAGGGTGTTTGTAGTTTGTGTAGTTGTGTGAGTGTGTGTGTGGGTTTTTGAGGTTCACCTTTTAGCCCACTCATTATTCCACAGGTGCCCACAGCCAGCCTCATCACTGCTTTCCTAACCAACCTCGACAAGCATATTGTCATGGCCAAACAAGGGGACCAGATGATCTACAAGCCATCTTACATGCTTGGATCAGCAGGATGGGCCATCCTTTGGACCCTCTTGGACATCATCATGGCCACCATGCATAACATTACTCCATACCTGGGTAGATCCCAGCACCCTCTCACCATTCCAGAATCGGCATTCGAAGAGCTCGGCATTTCCTCACCAAACAATGAAGTAGACATCACTCACTTCCATTGTTGCCCGAATTATCTCTTTACCCTCACCTGTCCTTCTCGTGATGAGCTCCTAAACACTCTCCAGATCTTCCAGCAGGGACTATGTGCCTGCATCATGTGGCTGGCCTCGAGGGTCAACTACAGTGTAGGAAAAGGGTTCCAAGCTCGCATCAACTGGGGCACATTTGTGGGGATGAGCTGGGATGAATTCCTATTCCATGTCTCCCCTGCTATGGTCCTAGCAGAGGCTCATTGTCAGGGTCTCACAGCCAAGGAAATAACAATGCACTATTACACCAACAATGAATATGCTCTCACATGTTATATCCCTTACTCCCCTGTTGGTTACCCTGACCTAGCTGCGTACATCCACTTTCCATATGACTCACGGTACTCACAAACTTCCTTCTTCCAGGACCTCCCATGCCTGATCATGAACTACACTGAAAACACCACCTCCACTCCAGGCACCTCTTCGATGGCTATGTGCACTTCTAATTCCGACTTCAAGATGAAAGATTTGGCTATCAAAGATATTATGGAACAAATGGGAAACTTGTCCTTGGAAGGATGAGTCAGCAATTGTTGACTGGGGGGGCCCTGTTATGGATGTCAGTCTGGTAAGATTAGTCAACAATCACCGACCACTTACTGTGCTAACCATCATGAATATTATAGAAATTTCTCTGGGTTTCTCTCCTTTTCCTTTTCATTTCTTGGGATACTCTTTGTTAAGCACTAACTGTAATCTGAACCAAGGCTGGTCTCTATCCTGTCACTCGCATTCGGTGATTCAGTGTTAGAGAGGCATTTGGTAGATTGCAAGAAGTTAGGTGTCACTTATAGCAAAAGCAAGGAGCTTGTAAGAGTTAGGAGTATATAATCTTAGCCGAAGCTGGGGTCTAAGGCCACAGAATAGGCTAGCTTAAATACATGTTAGACTCATACTAAGAATAGTATCTACAAGGGCACGTGCAATGAGAAGTGCACTTGCTAACGAATGAGGAGTGAGGACACTAAAAGAAGTGTACTCCCGATGAATGAGAGTAAAGAGCGCATATCACCTGCATTTGCATGGGACTCCATCTGAATAGGTCACATCCCATAGACTGCCCTTGACCAGTGGTTGACTTGGGCCCAACCACTAAGAAGTATGATGCCATCGAGAGAAGCATGATGGCACATGCGGGTCATCAGTCATCCAGGGTGTGGCAGCTGTGAACTGGGGTGATGGCAACTGGGTAAATGGGTAAAGCAGGTGCCAGCAGAATATCATGGGTCCGAGAGATAAGATAGGCAGGTCCAGGATTCTGGGAGATAAGGAAAATAGGGGTAAAGTCATAATACTCTTCTAGTAGATTCTCTTGACTGTCCTCTTCCAGAACCTTCACTTCATACAATATATATATTGAGTATCATAATATGCCCTGAGGGCATCTTAATTTTACCTTCTTGACTCCACAACCTAGTGTGAACCTAAGTGAAAGAGGTCAGTTATGCCAAGTGCTTGCTGAACATCTCACTTACAAACTATGCCAAGTGCTTTTCGGATCTTCTTAGCTACACCTAGTGCTTGCTAAACTCTCGGTTGGAGCCTTCTTGGTAAAATTGGACCCATTGATATTCTACACTTGCTCTTGGCTTAGACTTTGATTAAGTACTACAGAATCGTACTTCAAAGAATTAGCCACATTCTTAACACGGCCTCTTGTTGGGATTTACAACTTCAAGCTTGTACTAGAAGATTCCCGAAGCTTTGGCTTACTCATTTGTCACAATACTTAGATATATTTAGTACTTTAGGTAGAATATTCTAGATACTTTTCATAGTATATAAGGAGCTCATTAGGAGCTCTTGTAGCTAACAATTAGGTATTATTCCTACTGCAAGCCTCCCACTGGTAGAGTTCCAACACCTCTCTTTCCACGTGCCACATACTACCCTGGCCTTGTCTTCTGAGTCCAGCCAGTCCGATAAGCAGGCCTGAATGTACCTAGGACTCAAAACATGCTCAACCATTGTTTCCAAGCAGACTTGTGAAAGAATAATAAATCTGACAAAGGTAAAGGCATTGGGGGAAGAGATAGCCGGTTTCGATAAAACGGACACACATTTGACATCACTTACTCCCTCAACCTCCCATCATGGCAACTCTCACTCCAAGCAAAATTCACACAAAAACTCAGGATCTAACTCTTAATTCACAGTGTAGTCTTGAATTTCTTGGATCCTATTTCCATCTTCAGGACGTGCCGGATGATGCTGTTAAGGAACTTAGGCATGTCATCATCCGTGAGGGTGACTTGCATGACATATCACATGTGACAGCACTCAAACATCAGGATCTACTGCTGCCTGCTCCGGTATAATTCCACCACTATCTCGAAGATATTCTTCTCTAACTGTTCCCTCTGGAAGTTCAATATATGCTGCATCATCGAGTGATACAACAAACCTCACATTTATCACCGCCGGATCATTGAATTAAAATGTACCACTGCGAACGAACAGGATCATGATGTCATGCTTGACAATGAGGGGCAAATACTGCATGTGCTAGAGCTGTATCCTGACATGGTACTTGTAGATGTCGGCCCAAGCACAACAGAACTTGTAGAGCCCCATTCACTATATTGCCGACAAGTTCTATCGTTCATCTCCGTCTAGCCATCGTTCATCTGTTCAGAACTCTCATACAGGCCCAAGGCATGGCCTCCCCATGTATGCAACTTGTTGATCGGGTATTCACTTCTCACCTGATGAACATCTTTGTCCTTGGTCTTATCTTCAAAGGGATGGGATTCCAGGTCGGGCTATGGGACAACACAGGGGGAATTATCTCTTCCGAGTACGAAATCTGCAGAGACCAAACCGGTCTGGACTTGTTCATCTGCGTCATCTATCGTCTCACTGGAGACATGTCTCTCACTGAACTTGGGATGGATTTAACGGTAAAGCTGAAGGATGGCCACACTCTCTATGGGAAGGAGTACACCAGCTTCACATTTCAAGCACCTGACTATGCCTCATCTACCGTCACCGAGGTTACGACTATTGGACCACCGCTATGGGTAAATCTGTGCTTATCTGATACAGCAGGCTCCACTTGGAAATGTGCGGATGGTGGTGTTTGCGTCGTGAATTGGTGGAGAGCATGTCAGGGTGATACCAAAACAGAACACCCTTTCAGTGCCGTGCTGTTACCAAGCCATAAAATACTTGATACGGGCTATATCAGGGCACGTCTTTCCATTGAATCAAGTCGACTCTCTGAGTCCCTGTCCACTCTACATCGCAACGCTATACATCGGAATGTGAAGATGCTGTGGCAAGCGATGGATAGCAGGGAGTTTATCCTAGGTCCGATTGATATTTTTGAAGGTTCAGTGACTGCCTCTTTGTTTCACAAATAACATCTGCTTATTCTTTGCCCAGGATACATTGATGCTTGTCATCATGGAGAGATGTATGACTTACATGCTGGGAATGTCTTCCTCTGTGATAATATTTGTATGGATATTTCTTCTGGTACTGTGCGCGGATTCACTGTGAATTCAGGACATGTACGTACTCTACTTCGTTTCAGATTGAACTGTTCTGACTTAGAGATCACATAAGTAGTGCCTCATTCAGTTCACCACCCTCGAGATCCTCCAGAATCAAGTCACCGCAATCGTGCCTCTTCAAACCCTGACTTTCAAATCCTTCATCTTAGTCTGCATCTAATCCCTACTCCGCTACACCTTCCACATCACCAAACTAAACTCACAGCTCCAAGAAGACTTCCACCAACTCTTCAGCCAAGTCGACTTTTCCGAAGTAGTCCAATACCAGATCTTGCTCGCAATTCGATACAGACATCTCCTAACCAGATTTAAAGAGACTTTGATTGATTAAAGAGGAATATCCCTCCCTTCCACTCTGGTGTCTTTGGTTAACCTTATACCATGACCAAGCTGGACAGATTTCTTGGCAAATGGAGCCCATTGTGTTACTGCCACACCTGCCAAATGTGGATTTGGGTGAGTGGAACGAAGCAAAGGATGTTTTTATGTGGATTATGGGGTTTGGGAATGAGGATGTTCCTCCGCAGATACACATTACCCCAGAGTTGTTGAGGTCCCGCCTGGAGGATATTCTCATGCTCAGCGACTATGAATTTGGTACAAACTCTGAGAGGACGAGGGAAGCTTAGTAGATACATTCTGTACATCCGTTTCAAATATCGAAAGCACTTTCAGTGTATTTTCATTAAAATTCACATGGAAAATCTAACGCCACACATTGGAAGAAAAATACCTCCTTGAATAGTGTGTAAGAGGAGTCACACCTCGAGCAAAAGCTTTCAACAGTACTTACACTTCATGCGCCATGACTAAAAAGTATGCAGTAAACTGCCTTCTCAGCAAGAAAAGTGCATCAATGCCACTCCTGATGGGCTGGGAGAATTTTGTGAGTGACATTTGCGAGCTTGCATTTGCTTGCGGTTGTATCAATGCATTTATGTCATAATACTTGCATGCTATCATATATGGATGCGAGTGACTTTTAAACACTTGACTGCTGGAAAGGTTTCATCAGCTCTTGAAGTAATCTGGGAGCTGTTATGGGTAGATAAGTAGATAATAGTGTGATATGAATTTGTAGAGACTAAATAGACATTCAATTACCTATCCACAAGGTCCCTGTGGACCATCCTATGGACTGTCCCTATGAAATTCTCATACAAAAACCAATGCAAGCCCTCACACAAGTCAAAACATAAGAATGCATGCGTTCGACCACTAATGCAAATGGTAAGGCATCCCTTGCATGCATTGAGATAAGAATGCAAATGCTTGCAAGTGTGTGATATGCCTGTCACATTTGCATTCAACTCGAGTTGAATTTGTGCCGCTTGCCTTTTCATCTGCCTGTTGGATAACACGTGCACCGTGTGCCCAGGCACGTTTGCCTAGCGAGTAGATAATGTTTGCTTAGAAGGCAAACAAGTACAGGACACTACGAAAACTAGCTACTTATATACTCTTTTATGTATTTCTAGTACTTTCTACCTCTTAGTAAAACTTTACTCAGCAAAACTCGGGCTAACTGGACATCATGCCAGCTTGCACAGCCACAGGGTCATCAATATTCCGCACTGCCATTTTCTTACACTGACAATACAAGCTTTCATTTACCGGATACATACCCAACATTGGCTCAAGCACTTGAATTTACTCACAAAGATGCCTTTGGTTCATTTAAGTTGAATGTTGATATCCTTGTTTCATGAGCATGTCATTACCTTAAGACAGGACCCTGCAGTTTGAAAGACCGGTCGATGCCTTGGGATGGCTTCAGTGATATTTTGCATGAATGGTAAGTTCTCTGATTCATCTTTTTTGTTTCTCTTCAACTTGATATATCCTGCAGATTATTTCTGTAGCATTCAACAGCTTCATAGAATTGTACTTGCAATCCATAGCCATGCCTTCTAGCTGTACCCTATGCTACTCTGTATGTTCATTGTTCTAAGTAATGTGGACGCGCCGATGACTTTCCTGGTCTTATACTGCTAATACCAGTTTAATTTCAGCACAATTTCAGCAAGCATGCAATTATCAGCTGGAATTGCAGTCTTTATGTAGTAAAAGAGTACATGCATCCGCAACCTGTCTAAAATCACCTACTGAGATCTTTATGTCTAGCTTCACAGGGGTGTATTCCCTATAGAGTAGTCCGACAAGGAAACAATGCTCATTGAATGTATGTGCGTCCCATTCCTGGTCGCTGAATTTTACTTAGTAGGTTTATGTTACGGTTTATTCGGTCTATTCATTTTATTCATTTCTTCTTTTTCTTTTCTTTTCTTTTCCTCATGTTACTCAGCCTGATTACTTTCATGCGATCACAACGGACACATTCTCACAGTACTATTATTAGGTTACCAAACGTGTATTTAAGTAGAGCCTCAGCTGGTCTAAACCCCAGCTTCGGCTAAGGTTTAATCTACCCAACTTGAACTCCGTTCTTCGCGTCTACGTGCCCACAGTTGACTTTGACATCGCCTTTGACTTGCTAGAGTGTCTTCCACCGAAGTGCGAGTGGAGACCCTAGTACGATCTAAGTCGATTATTAGTTGGTTGTTAACATTTAGCCGAAGCTCGTCTCACATTGCTCGACGCCACATGTCGCCCAACATTTACACTTTTATCCTCCTGCTCCTGGTGATCGATTGGATCCTACCACTGGTCTTACCGGATCCTATCCTCACTGTCATCCTTATCATTATAGCCGTCATTCTCTTGGTTCAAGTAACCATCCCTGCCCCACTACTAGCAGCCTTGCTCGTGGTGGCCTATGTTGGCTTCCTTCGAACCTGAATCCTTTTACCTTTCTCTTCCGACTCGTTTCCTTGTTAACAATCCTATTGTTGACATTGACGAGTACATCCGAAACAAGCGAGATTCTGCTGATGAATGGCTCCAACTACGAAACTGACCTCAGCCTAATCATCGCTCTTCTAATCGCACTCACCATTCTAACCGTTCAACTTTGGATCAATCACCTGTTAAGCCACTACCAACTGTAGCAGGTGCATGGTTAATCCCAACCATCGAACCCTACGAAGGATAGACTCATGAACGGATGCCCTGGTCCGACGCCATTCTCACTGTCTTCGCGACTTTTATACTCTTTTTCTTGTCCATTATTTTGTACCGACTACACCGCTGTTTCCGACAGCAGAGGAGAGTCCGTGCACAACTCCCATTCCACTACGTTCCCAGCACTCCCGCATACCCTCCTCCAGTAATCCACATTCCCACGGCATCCCAGCAAACCATACGAGATGTCGAATCCAACGTCTCTGGGGGACCTGGAGAATCCCTCTATGGATTGTCACGGTCCAGCTCGCGATACTCAGGGTCGAGCACCAACTCCTACAGAAGCGCCACCGACGAGTCAGCCGACTCAGTCGACATCACAGATACCCGGGGCATATTCCTCGACCGAGGAGACTCGCCCCTACCAGGCCTCTTCGACCAGTCTCCAGTCCAGGGTGAGCCAAGCTCTGACAGAGGCCAAGGACAAGGCACCAGGCATTTGGTCGAGGGCGAAGAAGGCTCTGACACCGAGTATGAAGGGGACGAGCTCACCAAGCTCGAAAGGACCAGACTCGATGACCTCTACCCGAATGAGGAAGAGGATGCTACCTATACCAGAGACACCTGGAGCGGAAGGTTGGGGACGTGCTGGACCGACGCCGACTGGGGAAGTGAGAGCAGGAGATACGAAAGAGGCAGAACAGCACACCGGAACGACTATGACAGTGATTCCGGAGAGCTTGCCCTTGGGGCCTCCGCCGCAACTACCTCCAGTACAGATAGGGCAGGATCCGTTCCTCCCGCTTGGCCGACAAACCGGGGTCCACCAGTCGGCTGGCACCCCAGCACCAGTTGGGTCTACGCCGACCCAGGGGAAGAGGCTCCTGTGGCCCGAGTCTCGACCCCGAGAAGCTTCACTTTCCCTGTCCGCCCAGAGACCCCAACGCCCGCTACCACCGTCGCCAGGTCTCAACCGACGGATCAGCAGCTCTGGGAGGAGTTCCCGGACTACGATTCCGAGGAGCTTGGAGCAATTGCCGGGGCCAGAGACCTTGCCCCCATCCCCGCTTTCACACCGTCAGTTGCGGGTCGAGCATTCGCCGACCCTGTCCCTAGCAACCAGCGTCCATGGACACTTCTCTACCACATGCTCGTTGAGTCGCTCGACCTCCCTCGACATGCCCGGGAGTCCCCAGAAGTCGAGGCCCGAATGGACCGAGCAAGAGCGGCAGACACATGCACTCGACGTGCCGAAATTGCTGCCCTCGTCGGACCCAACGGCTTCTATGACCTTCCCGTCGAACCTGATGCCACCCGTGCCGAAATCGAAAATAGGCAGCGAGCAGCCGCCCTCCGGTACTCTGGGCTCGTCGAGCGAGCAGGAACAGACCTCGAGGCCCAACGAAGAGCCTGGCAGGCCTACAAGTCGGAGATCAGCGACCCCGACTCCGACATCGGACGGTGGAAGAGGAACAAGGAGATCGATAGACTCGCCCGAGAGAGGGAGAAGGCCAAGGATGCTGAGTCGGCCGCCAAATAGCTCCCTTGAGGCAGAGGTGATGAAGGCGGTCCGAACGGTCCTAGTCGATCCCATGGCCCCCCTTCCAACAATCTTTAATATCTTACCATGGCACAGACTGTACAAAATAATGATGGAAGACATGGAGCATGACTCCCAGTGGCTACTCACGGAGGCCGGAGAGGATTATCGACATGTAAAATACATGGGGGACGTCTACCTCATGAAAAATATCCTGGAAGTCGAAACGTGGCACAGGGCCGCCCTGGTGTGGAACCAGGTACACCCTGACAACACACGGCCGGGGTGCGAACCCTATCGTCGACCTCAACCAATGCCTAACCCGCTAGAGACTGAGGAGTTCTGGGCGGGCGCGGGGCCTGAGGATCCAGATGATGCATGGGATGACCCTGGTGCAGGGGCCTCCCGGAAAGGAAAAGAACCTGCGGTATCGAAACCGCCACCGCCAGCACCGCCGCTGCCCAAGTATCCTGAAGGCTATCCACCACCGGGCGACAACCCCCACCTACGCTTGCTATCGCGACCGCCAAACGCGCCGGTACCGCCAAGCACACCACCGCTGCCAGACCCGATTCCCCCTTGGCAGTTGGCTCCCGGAG